TCTTCTATCTGGGTCCGTCCTCCTCCTCCTCCTCCTCCTCCTCCTCCTCCTCCTCCCCCTCCTCCTCCCCCTCCGCCTCCCCCATCCTCCGCCTCCTCCTCCCCCAGCTGGCCGCCGTCTTACACGAACACTGCCAAACCCGACGGGCTGGCGTCTTCCGAATTACACTTCGTGCAACTTTCGGGGGGGATAGTATTTTTCCCAACCCTCCTTGGTTGGGTATTCGTTTTGAATAGGGCAGTGTGGTCTCCACTTCCTCCTTCCCGTCCCGTCTCCCTCTTGCCTCCTCCTGTCTTGCTTGCGGGGGGCTGCGATCTGTGAAACTGTCGCCACTTTCGAGCCTTGCTGGGGGGCCCAGCACAGTGACGCCACGGGCGGAACCAAATTAGACCTCGCCATCCCTGGGGGGCTGCGATCTGTGAAACTGTCGCCACTTTCGAGGCCTGCTGGGGGGCCAAGCACAGTGACGCCACGGGCGGACCCAAATTAGACCTCGCCATCCCTGGGGGGCTGCGATCTGTGAAACTGTCGCCACTTTCGAGGCCCGCTGGGGGGCCCGGCACAGTGACGCCACGGGCGGACCCAAATTAGACCTCGCCATCCCTGGGGGGCTGCGATCTGTGAAACTGTCGCCACTTTCGAGGCTGCTGGGGGGCCCAGCGGAGTGACGCCCTACGGGGATTCAGATTAGACCTCGCCATCCCAGGGGGGCTGCGATCTGTGAAACTGTCTGCCCCCCCCCCCCACTTTCGAGGCCTCTGCTGAGGCGGTGCCAGCACAGTGACGCACGCGCGGGACCCAAATTAGACCTCGCCATCCCTGGGGGGGCTGCGATCATGTGAAGCCTTCGCCACTTTCGAGGCCTGCTGGGGCCCAGCACAGTGACGCCACGGGCAGATTCAAATGAGACCTCGCCATCCCCTGGAGGCTGCGATCTGTGAAACTGTCGCCACTTTCGAGGCCTGCTGGGGGGCCCAGCACAGTGACGCCACGCGCGGACCCAAATTAGACCTCGCCATCCCTGGGGGGCTGCGATCTGTGAAACTGTCGCCACTTTCGAGGCTTGCTGGGGGGCCCAGCACAGTGACGCCACGCGCGGACCCAAATTGGACCTCGCCATCCCTGGGGGGCTGCGATCTGTGAAACTGTCGCCACTTTCGAGGCCTGCTGGGGGGCCCAGCACAGTGACGCCACGCGCGGACCC